CAAAAGAAAGAATGATATGAATTTATGATAAATTTGGTGTTACGTCACCAACAAGGGAGAAAAAATGGGAAACTTGAGGTTATGAGTGACCAATACATGAAGGAAAGATATGACTAGTGATAAAAAGAGCACAATCGACATACATAACACCCAAACATATAGATGAAGTGGTAGAAATATGATGAAATGTACTGACAAAGGTATCAAACAAGAGTGGATAAGTAAATATAGACTCATTAAACAAGACCTCCTTGAAAATATAGAGTATAACATTTGGTGACAAACAATTATATCCATTATGAGTAGTGGAGTATCATAGAAAGAGAGATTCATGTGACCCGAAATCAAATTTATAAAGGTTATAGGGCTTGAGTAAGGTAAAGTTGGAACAACTTAAGGCTCTTAGGATTTGTAATCAGGTTGTTTACCAAAAAGTGGGAAGTATGGAGTGACTTAGTGAATGTAGGCAATTGGTAACCTACTAATTAGATACAAAGTTGATAGGAAGGAATTACCCCAATATTTATTGGAAATGGAATCATGGCTAAGGAGAGCTAGGCCAAGTTATTATACAGTTATATGTTTCCTATCCACTACACCATTTTGGTGATGCATGTGATGATAAATTGGTCTATGAATGATATTTAGGCAAGTGAGGAATTTTATGAAAGGTTTTCATTCACCAGCTAAGTCATCTTAGAGTGATTTTATGGGTAGGTAAAATTGTAATTCAACCTGGGTTTAAATTGTTCAAATATAAAAAAATCATCAGATTTACTCTTTATAAGATACATTTAATTAAATTTAGTGGTTACATCTATAAAGGTGGTATAGTAAAGGAAGTTATTAGTTGACTTCATAAGAGCAACGCCTCTAAGGTAAAATTATATATGTGTTCAAGGGGGTAGTCTATTCAGTGTGTGAAGGTGAAACATATAATAGTTTGTGGGATTTTCCCATACAATGGATATAAGAAAATAAAGAATCTTTGTTATTGATATAAATATGAATGTTACATTTTTTCAATACAAGATTCAAAGTATTTTTATTTGGATGACCTAATCTTAGGTTCCAAAGAAATTAAGATGTACTTGACAACATGTCAAGAATACTGGTAGTAGAAGAAAATCGGGGATGAGAAACATTAGAAGGAGAAACTAGACATGAACTTAGGCTTGAAAACTACGGTTTAAGATTGGAAAACTCAGAGATCATCAGAGCTTATTGGTCTTTCTCGGAGAATAAATTCCTTGGTATAAGATTTAACAACATAATGATTAATATAAAAGACAAAATAATATGAATTACCACTTGCAAATGTCCTAACACTATTGTGATTTGCTTACACAAAGGCTAGATTAATGACTGCTTGATGTCATTTAATTTGGTTTGCCATTGTGATTTGTCTCATACAACATTATTCTTGGTGTGTTTGACCTTTCAATTTCACAACATGTGGCACCCATTATGGGGGAAAAGGGGTTAAGTTTTTACGAGTGAGCGTCATGAGTTCTAAACTAGACATCGAAAAGATTTATAGAGAAAACAATTTTGGGTTGTGAAAAGTGAAGTTGCAAGGATTCATAATTCAACAAAAGTTTGTGGAGAATTTAAAAGTGAAACATTAATTCCTACAAGGCTAACACAAATAGAGAAGATCGTGATGGTGAATAAGTCTAGGAGTGTCATTTTCTTGTGATTTAGAGATAAAGTCCTAAGGGAAGTCACAAAGGATAATACTATAGAAGAGATGTGGCTCAAGCTTGAATCATTATATATGATTAGATCTTTTTCCCACAAATTATGTATGAAACAACAATTTTACTCATTTCTAATGGTGAAGAACAAATCCATTATAGAACAATTGACAAATTTTAACAAGATCATTAATGACTTGCAAAATATTAAGGTGAAACTTGATGACAAGGACAAAGATCTACTCTTGTTTATCTAATTAAGATGAAATAGATGAAGGTTGAAAATAACGATGAAGGCTTAAGTGTTTCAAGAGGAATATGTGAGAGTATATGAAAACAAAAGTGAAAGAAAAAATCAAGCTCAAAGTCCAAATTAAGGGTTTTTATAAGTCAAAGTTAAAATGTTTAATTTTCCAAAAAATCAGGCACTTCAAGAAGGATTGTCCCTAGAGGACAAGCAAGGGTAACTTTGTTCAAATTGTAGTTTCCTTTAATGAGGATAGTTATGATAGTACTGGTACACTAATGATGACGCATTTAGAGTCAAATAAGTGTTGTTTATGGAATCAATTCTGATCTCACATATGCCCAAGGAAAAATACTATGAAACTTAGGAACTAAAAGAAAGTGGAGCAATTTGACTCGGTAACAATAGGGTTTGCATAGTCCATGGTATTGGTGTTGTTAGACTAAATATGTTTGATAACTATGAGTTCCTTCTATGAAATGTGAGGAATGTTCTAAAGCTTAAGTGAAGTTTTCTATCTACAAGTATGTTCGAAGATTTAGGCTATTAAATCAAAATTTAGGTGGAGTGTTGAAATTTTTTCTGGGTGCATTGATCATGGATAAATGGTCTAATATGTATGGGTTGTATATTGTATATGGTTCCACTATTATTGGTAATTCATCATTATCTATTCATATATTTCATGACGAAAACAAAGCTATGGAATTACAGATTACCACAATCGGTGAAAAAGGACTAGTTGAGCCATCTAAACTAGGTTTTCTAAGAAGAAGTGATAAATTGAACAAAATAGAATTTTGAGATCAATGCATACTAGGAAAATAATATAAGGTAAAGTTTGAGAGTGACATGCATAATTCTTGTAGGTTGTTTGAGTATGTTCACTCTAATCTATGACATACAAAAAGGGTGGTAACTCATGGTGGTGGTTTTTATTTGCTCACCATTATTGATGATTTTTTTAAAGAGTACAAGTATATATTTTGAAAAATAAAAGTGACACAATTGAGAACTTCAAGGAAAAACATACTTTTATATAAAATAAGTTGGGAACTAAAATGAATGTGTTGAGAAGTGACAATGGCTTAAAGTTTGTTTCAGAAAAGTTTATTGATGTTAACAAGAAACAAGGTATAAAATACATAGAATTATTGTTGGCACACCTCAAAAAGATGACCTAGCTAAACACATATATACGACCATTTTGAAGAAGATAAGGTGTATGTTGTTAGGCGATGGGCTACCAAAAAATTTATGGGGTGAAACTGGTGCTGCTGTATCTTACCAAATTAACAAATATCTATCAAATATAATTAATCATTCATTTTATTACAAAATGACATATGAATGACTTTGGATGGAGAATATGAGATATTTAAGTAAGTCTTTGATATCATGGCTTTCCATAGAAGCCTCAATGATCCAGGTGTAGTAGGGAGGAACTCTTAGTTGTTATGGAGATACTGACACTCACCAAGACAAAGTGGTCAATCTATCTTGGGGGTTTCAATCATACCCACGCGACCGCGCTATTGAGAGCAAGGAAAAGTTAGAGATTTCTCGCAGTTACAACAATCATTTGCATGTTTTAAGGATTCACATTAGTTATGGAATGAGTGGAAACATTGAACGAAATTTCTCATAGATGATGGCAAATAACGTAGTAATACATTTTCTTCTAGTGTTGTTGTTGATGATGAACTCTAGTACGACGACCTTTACGATACACTGAGTGGTGAGCGTGAACATGCAAACTCTCTAATGACCAAGTCAGCGATGACCATAAGTGTGAGATTTAAGTTTTAGAATAGTTTGTAACTGAGTCTGATATATCATATTGTTTTATAGTAGATTTCTAAGGTTCCGAGGCATTATAATCTTCTTCTTGAGATGGTTTCTCATAGGATAAATGAAAAAATATCACAGTTCACGAGTGTGACCATCTCCTTGTTCCAAGGTTCTATAGCCTTTTTTCGTTCATCTTTTTCATAATATAAATGTTAAAGGATTTGAGTTTCGTCTTATCTGACACAGTTCTTGAATACTTGGTTGAGCTTTAACCTAGTACAATGATAGGGTTGACCACCTTATGGTTTCAAAGTTCTAAGTCATTCTTTGGGTACAATAATCCTCAACCTTATTAGAGGAAACTTATGGAGATCCACCATCCCTTTTGATATGAAAATCTTGAGCCGTTGTGTGAGTAACAAGATACTTAAACATGAAATTGAAAGAAATAAAAACTATATTGAACAACAAACCTTAACCATATTGCAGTCCCTTATGTTTCAAATATCCTAAGAGCATCTCCAACCGTGGATCTATTTTTGGGTTCTTTGTGGAATTTATTAAGTCACGTCAGTTTGAAGCAACTCAACTAGTTTTTCACTCCAATAGTGTAACTCTAATAAACTCATATTAGGTCCCACAATTTTATCTTATATATTAATATTTTATTCTTATTAATTTAAATTATTAAATTTATAAAAATATGCAATAATTAAATAAATCAAATTAAACTTAAAATTCAAAATAATAATTAAAATTAAAGTAAAATTAACATTTACGAAAAATAAATTGTTTATAAATTTATTAATGTAAAGTAAAACTTAATGTATAAATTATGTTTATTAAAGAAAAGAAATTAAAAACAAAAAGCAGAAAGAAGTATGAATATTTTATTATTAATTTATTATTTATTAAGTTTGATGAGCGTTGGATTGTGATGCAACAGTTAGCCACGGTGGCCAACTCCAATGAAGAAAAAATTGATACAACACATTTTAGTTGGAAAACTAGAGAAAAAACTCCCCATTAAAATTACTCTAAGTAATTGTGCGTATAATAAGATACTTTGATTCTATATTAGTTGTGTTAGGTCTTGGTCGAGACGAAGACATACCTAATATCTTAAAATTTTAAATAAAGATCTCTTATGGTTAAAAAGAATGTTTCCCCTTAAAAATAAAAATAAAATAAAAAACGTAGACATGATGATTTAAATAAAAAAGATGAATTAGAAAGCTAATTAGAAATGATGTGAAATTTGAAAAAGAAAACATACATTCTCCGCACCCCTATCTATACTTTCCTTTTCACCCTACTCTCTATCCCTAGTCTTACCTCTTTGTTCCTCTGTCTCCTACTCTGTTACTTCGTTTTCTTCTTTCATCTCTTTTTACTATTTACACCTTACTTCCCTTTTCATCATCTCCATACCCTTTCATTTTCAACCCTTTACACTCTCTCTCTCATCCTTTTCTTTCTCCACCTCACACGCTCACCTTCTTTCTCTCTTCTCTATAATTATATTGCTCCCAACCATCTCAAAAACACACACACACACAACTCAAACACATAGAAACTAAGCTTCTTCCTCAATCATCTTCTACATTCTTTCACTCAACATCTTGTTTCATTTCAACCACACAAATGGATCAAGTGAGTCTTTCATTCTTTATGTTCCATTTACTTCTTATACCTTGAGTTCATGTTCTAACTATGTTTTTTGTTTGTTTGTAATAGGAATATCACTTTAAGAGGAACCATGTGCCAGCATTTGGAAGCTGGGATTGGAATGATAATCTTCCATTCACACAGTGCTTTGAATCAGCAAGACAAGGTGGTTTTCTACACTATAGTTACAACTCTGAAACTGAAGATCAAGATCTCTATGTTGCTGGTGATTTGTATGATAACCATGTTGTTACTCCTGCTATGATTGTTGTTCCTCGTAGAAGGGTATGTTACCTAAATTCTCTTGTTCTCCATGTTTTTCTATCTTTTGTTTTAGTTTATTTTTTTCTTGCTATTTCCTCAAAGATTAGAAAAACTAGTAGAGTATATACAGAGAAAATTAGCACCTAGAATTTCAAAACGCATTTATTATTATTTTTATACATTAATCTTTATACACATTTTTATGTAATTAATCAATATATATATATATATTTACATAAATAGTAGTAACTAATTTTATTTACTAAGTATAAAATTATGTAGTTAACAAAAATATATTTATAAATAATGGAGTATTTATTGTATTTTAACTAATTTTGAAATTTTATATTTAAAATTAATTAAGAGTTTACATTAAATAAATAACATAAATTTATTTAATAATAATTTTTTAAAATACTTATATGAAGAGATAACTTTTAAATGAATCTCTATATTTAGGAGAAGTACTAGAAAGTTATGTTCATTGCATATTTGCATCATAGTTAGTGATTATAGATTTTTTTTAGATAGTGAGTGAGTGTGTGGAGAGAGATAAAGAGAGCAACTTAGCTTTTTTAATGTAAAATAATTAATTTGTCTATGGTAGGTCACATGACTTTACAATTGAGCCTCCTATTTAATTGACATTAATGATTCACGCCTAGCGTGACAAAGTATTAAAGCAAGAGCTTTCTGACATAAACACCATATTAATTTATGATGTTATTTTTAGTTGTTTAATAATGAATCTAACTTTAGCCTTTATCAACTATGTTAATGGGTCACCAAAAATAAAGACAATAGCATCCATAGGTATCATAGCAATCAAAAATTAAATTCATAATGACACGTAGTACACTATGTAGTGTGACATTAATTAAACTTATGTAACTTCAAATGTCACTTTTTATAAAGCACCAACAAAATTATTAATTTGTTTTCAACATTATAGGAAAAGCTACGTTCCCAAAATGAAAAAGATGCAAAAAAGCAAAATTGGGTGAACAGTGTTATGAATGAGCCACCAATGTCAAGACCAACACCAAAACCTGTTGATGAAGATTTGTACAAAATTTCACCAGATCTTCTTTATGTCAAAACTACCAAGGTACTACTTTTTCTTTTTTCTCCACTAAAAATTAAATTTTCATTCACCTTTATTACTTTGCTTTTATAAATGTCTTTTTATTAGTGTATATTCAATTATTCATACTTTTGCTCTTTTCTTCTTTAGCAAAAGTTTTCTTTTTATAAACTTCCATTTCTAATTTGACTTTAATTTTTATTGCAGAAAAGAGGGTTGTGTTTCTTTCCAAGTTGCTTGTTTCCAACTTGCATTGCTTGAGACAAGAAAAATTTGGGAGATTAATGTATATAGAAGTGATTAAATGGAGACATTATTGATTAGGAGATAGATATTCTCTTGGATCATATTTATTTGAAAGTATATTTAAGGAGCAAGAAGATTATCATATTACAGTGTATTTTTTTCCATCTAAAGGGTTTGTTTATTATTTTATTTTGATATTTAGTATTTGATGTATTTTGGGTACCATTGCTTGGAGTTGGACTTTGAACTTTATTTGTAAAAGCTCTGATACCAGAAATTAAAGAGAGAGAAAAAAGGTCAAAAGTAAATCTCTTCTTGTTCGATAACGTTCTCTCTCTTTCTCTTATTATTATTATTATTATGTATTATTACTAAATATTACTATGATCTCGTAATTATATCTTTGAATTTAAATTAATCTCTTAATCTTTTTTCATATCATTTTGGTTTTTTAATTTTCAAAATAGTTAATTTTAATTTTTTTTGTCTAATTAATAATAAATTTAATGATTAATTTCAAAAATTTTCAGTTTTTAATTAGATAAAAAAAGATTAAAATAAACCATTTTAATTTTTAAAGAATCAAAATGATACGAAAAAAATTAAAAAAATTAATCTAAATTTAAAAGTATAATTAAAAAACTAAAATAAATATTTTATCTACTATTATTATTGATGATTATTTTATGTGTTTTCACTCTTGAAATATTTTATAAATCTTTTTTTAGTTGTGGACAATCACAAGTTAACACATAATAAAAGCATAAGGATAATAAAATACAAAAACACAAAATAATAAGAAACTATTTAGGACATGCTAAAAATTATTATCATTCCTTAATAAAAATTCAAAAATATTTTTAAATTTAGAGATGTATTTCACACGCATCACAAATATATTAAAAACACGTGTAATCACAAATTTATTTTATTAAAAAGTTATTTTTATTTTGTAAAAATATATTTTTGAAATTCAAAAATACATTTTTGAAATTCAAAAATACATTTTTGTAGAGTTTGTTTTCATTACTAATTTATGTAGAGTTTGTTTTTATCATTTCTATGAAATTATCATTATATAAGAAAATTAAAAACTATTTGCTCACAATCAACCACGTGGTTTTCTAAGAGCACACTTTATTTGTTTTTCCAATTTATTCAATTTATTTATTTCAATTTCAATCTATTTCAATATTCAATTCATGGTTTCAGAACTGTTTCTCATAAATCCTCATTCCTTTATTGTTTTGGGTTTTCCAACTTCCAATCCTCCTTCTTAACTTCTTTGTTATACAAGATCCAGATTGTCATTCTTTGTCACTTATAGTGTAAGAAACTACTTCCTTAAAAGATATTATGATCAGATCTCCACCTAATATATTTCTCCTAGCAATTGCTGGATTAATTATTGGCTTCAAAAGTCATGCCTTCACCATATACCCTTATGGATAGAGCCAGAAGCTTCAGATCATGCTTCTGTCATACTCAGAAATGCCACTTATGAATACTGTGATGAACTTGTTTGACAACCACTAATAAACATGATGTTACAACATCATCCATGACATCAACTTCAGAAGCTGAATCAGGTTGTCACCCACATAACATCACCGAGAAAAATAGACTCTCAGCAGTTAGTAGCTATCTTGCCCAAGCTACTTCAAACAGCCACATAAAGAAAAATAACTTCTCTACACATTTTCTAAACAAAAACGTTCAACTTCAGAATTGCATAACTTCTCAGATAAATACCTAGTTTCCCATTAAGGTGTTCACTGTTGGTCTTATGCACAGTCTCCTAAAAGGATAGACAAATACTCAACTCCCGTCAGAATATTCATCACCAGTCAGATGCACCACCTCCTCACACGAGGTATCACATTTTATATGATTATCTTCTTCTGCATACCTATGGCATAAGCTGACTCTTCACAATGACATCAATCATGACAACCATCTTCATGACAAACAACTTCATAATGGGCCAGTGGCTTGACCTAGTGTTTCATTCTGGACAAAACAGACTTCCTTGGCTGAAGACCAAATAACTGAGATGATGTTCCAACACTAATCTCACACATATGGACTCGACAACTACTATGGTTTTGGAGGTAACATCCATAACAATCCATGCATAACTCTTGCAGGGGATACAAGATCACTCTTTAGCATCTGATCATCCTTCATGACCAGACATCAAACACATGCATGATACACACCTCCAAAACACAACTACATACCTCCTGTCTGACTCTGAGGTGGTAGGAGCCAATCTTCTGCACCTAAAGAGGAGATTCCCTCTAACAGGTATCTGGAGCAGAAAATAGCAAGCAGATGATAAGGCCAGCACTATACCCTAAGCACCACAGCTTCTTCAAGGCTCACTAATGCACTTCCAGCTTTAGTGCGTGCCTTCAGGACACCACAGTTGGATTCTGAACTTGAGAGCGACCTCCCTTGAGTATACATACCTTGCTCCAATAAGGCATGATCAACTCCCCTTACTCAAGTAAACAACTGAAGACTCATTCCAAGGGATTGAATAATACTTCAAAAGTGCAGACGCCAATCAACCACTGAGCTTTGGTTGATTAACCTCCATTTATCATCCTTCCTTGGATAATTATTCTTCTCTTAAAAAAACAAGAGTTCCATGCTCTCATAGACTTGACAGTTATTTCAAGTTTGAGTAAACAACCTCTATCCTATTTGTAAGAATAACCATCAGCCTAGAAATTTGGATAACTGCTTCCTTAAGTCCCTTTCTCTCAATTTTGGTTCCTTTGGTCAAAAGAACCTAAACATGTAAAAGATGATTTCCTCGACATTAGGAATAGACTTCATGAAGAATCTTGTTGAGATGTCTTTTAACAAGTCTTCGAATAGAACTGCATGCTCAGCTTCTGCACTCCTACTTTCTTGGATCAGAAATAAACTAACCCAAAAAGTAAACAATATGTTGCTCGTGTCCTGATCAACATATATATCTAAGGCACGTTTCTAGCATCGAAACTCCTTAGACACAAATGCCTCCTCTTCTAGATCAGGAGTAAATTCTAAACATATGTGATCAACGCACATTTGTTCAGCCCCTAAAGCATCAGTTACACCATTCTTTTCATCAACAAAATTCTACATAATCTACTAACGAGATGTTCCAACACCATGTATAACATCATCCAAGGAATGCACCAAGAGACCCATCATCAAAGACCTGTGGCTGTCCTTTAAGAGAAAAGAGCAAAATTAAATTGCTTCCTTCAAATCTCCTATCAACGAACTTATTCAGAAGTGCCTTTATGAGTGGACTTGAGACAGTCCTCGAGTATCTTTGGCAACTTATAGGATACACCTTCAGAGAGGAAACACAGGCACAACCCGATGCAGCAGAATAAACGAAAAAACTCCTCAACCAAGCTTCAGGCACAACATAAGTTTGAAACTAAATCAAACTTCATAGCAGCTCACGACCAAGGTTGCTCATCTGACAGCTTCAAAACAGGGTCACCACACACCCTGTCACGAATAATCCATCCTCCACTTCAAGGGACCACTCGTACAAATATGAACTGACTAGGTTCAAACAACTTTTCAGTATAACCTCCTACCTTGCACATAACCATAAAGTATCTTCCCAGGATCTCATCCAAAGATAGAACATGATGCCTGCTCTGATACCAATTGAAATTCTGGTATGACAAAACTCAGATGTGCTAAGAGGATATCGAGATATCTGATCTGACATAAATAACACATGCAAGGTATAAACATTAAAAATAATACTGAAAAGTAAAGTGCACACATAATTGTTAACCCAGTTCAGAACAACCTTCCTACTTTAGGGGTATACCAAGTCAGGATAAATCCACTAATACTAGTATGAATGCATAGATCCTACATCAAACATATCATTTTACAGTCTAATCACTTAATCACTACCCTCGCTAGATTTATATCTAAGAATCACCTAGATATGAGGCCCTCCTCAATTCCTCATCAATCATAGATAGCGATTGGACAATTCTAAGACACTTAGAAAAATAAGAAGACACACTTCCATGATGAGAAGACTCACTTCTATGACGAGCAGGAAGACACACTTCCCTCCAAACTTAGCCAAGAATCTCGACTAAGAACACCAACTTGGAGTTGCTTAAAAGCTTCCTCCAATAATAATATTCACTCTGGCTTCACAACTTCGAGGAGAACAAAGTGACCATCTTACAACCCGAGTGGTTCACTTGCACCAACTCTTCTAGAGAGTGGATACATACTCAATCCTAATGACTATATATTGATAATTCACGATCGGTCCTTAATCCTAGGTTACAATGCTTCTACTTATAACCTAGTACTCAACTGGATTTGGGCTTATAATCACAGCAAATATGTTATTACAAATCTGCAGAAGACTCTGCTACAAAATAGGTCTTCAATCAAATCTTCCTAATGAATCTCCAAAATTAAAAAGTTAATATTCTTCCTGATTCTGACTTGAATCTTCCATACCTAATAAGATATCTCCACATATGATTGCATAATATTCCAAGAATATTTTGTATTTGTTAAATCATAACAAAAATGTTTAATCCAGTTTTGCCAGTCACGATGTCGTATCAACTTACATAGGATATCTTTTTTGACATGTTGCTCCAGATGATGAGACATCTCATCTCAACATGTTTCTTCATCAAATAGAACTTCAACCTGCTTTCTCCTACAAGTTAAAAATCCTATTTAACCTATTTATGCTATTATTAGTTTTACCAATCATAATGTCAATCCAAATAATAGAGAATTAACAATTTCAATTCAATTTAATTATTTTAGTTTTAGGATTTGAAGTTCCGTGAAGCCATTATCGATGATTTGAGTGGTAGATCTGTAGTCAACGACAAAAGAAATTAGGATTTTACGATACCCACCTGTTTACCTTGGGTTTTGGTAAACAACCGCTGATCCTCCAAATGGTTACTTATTTGGTTACTCGCAGGATCGATCAGATTGATCCTATG